GCGTCCAAGGAAGTCTGAAATTCGAACTTGAGGCGCGTTCGGTGCATAGTTGGAGTTGGAAATTGAGCCAAGTACAACTCAGGTCGAAATCAGGCGCGGCGCGAGGGCGAAATCAGAAATCCTTTTGCTTATAACTTGCTTTGTGTTTTCTGTTTTTGTATGCCTTCTTCAATGAAATCACTTCAACTTTCTGCCTTGACGTTTTTCAGCAAATTCCTTCATACAGTTGAGGCCAGAGCTTCTCATGCAAGCTACTAAGACTCTGATTAGTCTTCATAGTCTAGACTAAAGGCTGCGCACGAACAAGAGCTACAAGGTGATTATAACGAGCCGTGCATCTCTACGGCAGCTACAAGGTGATTATGACGAGTCGTGCATCTCTACGGCAGCCACATTGCCTCACCTCCCTCTTCTCCCACCAGGCAAGGCTCTTAACCAAGCCAAGCCTCAACTCTCAACCCGAAACTCCCTTCCCCTCCCCCCTTTCCTCCCATCTCCCCCCCACGCTGGCCTCAGCACTCAACATATGACCAATCACCGTGAGTGGCTTACCGGATTAAGGGATTCCAATGTACCCTACGTTCTGTTGGGGGATGAAGGGAAGCTGAGTGTGAAGGGAGACGGAGAATTGCTACTCCAAGGAGAGTACGAGGAGTTGAAACTGGAAAATGTTCTCTTAGTGGAGAAGCTCCCACTGAATTTGATCAGCCAATCTCAGCTTGACAGCACAAGGTGCAAGACATTCAGCGACAAAGGAAAGTTGTGGGTTTTCAATGAGGATTGGAAGGTGGTTGCAGAAGGGAACAGAAATCAGGGGTTGTATGAAAGAAAGGGCTGAGGAAGAAAGGGCTGGAGGATGAGAATGCCACCTACCTGACACCACTCGAAGGGGACATAGCTAGGGAGGAGTTGAAGGCTCCGCTTGGTGCCTTGCCTGTGAAGGAGCTGCTGCAGAAAGCTTCAGCCATGGTGGTTGGGATGAAGAAGGTGGAATCGGAAACCTTGCACAGGCGCATGGGACATGCAAGCATGGATAGGATCAAGGAGTTGGTTAGAAAGGGCATGGTAAAAGGTGTGGCACTGAAGGAGGGGGTTGGAAGCAAGGGAAAACGCAGCAAGTGTGTTGAACGTAAAATCACAAAATCTCCACACCCCCACCACTAGGTATAAGAGCCTTATGGCACCTTGGACATCGTTGCAGCCGATGTGTGTGGGCCTATGAGGGTGGCATCACGGCACGGCAGCCGCTACTTCGTTACCTTCACTGATTAGGGAACGAGGCACACATGGGTGACGGAGCTGAAAGATAGGGCAGAAGTGTTTCCTAGCTTCGTGACTTAATTGGCGGAAGCGGAGCGGTAAAGTGGGAAGGTGCTGAAAGTTTTGAGGACAGATGTCGGCAGGGAGTTTACCGGTGAGCTGCTCAACAAGTTTTTACAGAGCAAGGGTATCCGACGGCATCTGACTGTTCCCTACACTCCACAGCATAACAGCATAGCGGAGCGAGTGAATCGGTCTCTACTAGACAGTGTGAGAAGCATGCCGGCCAACAGTGGGCTGCCACTAAAATTCTGGGGTGATGCATTGGCAATGGCTTGCTGGTCCAAGAACCGCCTACCTACCAAGGGACTTCAGGCAGATATGACTCCCCACGAGGGTTTGCACGGGTGTGGGGGGGTATGGTACAGTACAAGGAGCCAGCTGGTCCAAATCATAAGTTGCTGCCCAAGGCTCATTGGGGGATCAGTCTTGGTACCTGCCCGGTGAGTAAGGGGTGGGTGATCAAGGATGTAATTTTAGGAAAGGTCATGATCACCCGGGATGTTATCTTCTATGAGGAGGTGAACTACCTGCAGTGGAAGGGAGTAGAGAAAGAGATTGCAGCAGCAGGGACAGCAACTACACCGGACAAAGTGGAAGATCTTTTGGAATACTAGGAAAGTGAGGTGTTGGTGATGAAGGAGATGAGGAGATTGAATATGTGGAACGGACAGATTTAGTTGATTGGGTGTGGGAGAAGGCACCAACCAGGGAAGCGGATGAAAGAAATGGAGTGGAGATAGCAAGGGAGCAGCTAAGCAATGAAGTAGCTGAGGGTGGAAATGATAAGGTGGATGGAGAAGAGGGAGATGAAGAGAAAGCAGCTGAAGGAGATAGTGGTCCATGGAAGTTTCTAGTCAGTGGTTACAGTAATGCCAATGTGAGGGATATAGAAGACTTACTTGAGGAAGGCGACATCATTATTGGAAGGGAAGTGAAATCTGGAGATGAAAATGAGAAGGCATTGGAGGGTTTCAGTGGAAATGAGGCAGAGTCACCTGCAGAGGAGTTGGGGAGAGGAAACAAGGTGAAGAAAGCAAACCCCCGGTATGCGCAACTGCTGATGACGTGCTGGAAGGACATCCATACACACTTCCTACTCTCTGCCACAGCTACTGACCTAGTCTCTAATGAAGGAAAAGTGACTCACAACCTGCCCAAAGAACCAGTGAGCATCGAGGAGGCACTAGAGGGTCCTGAAAGGGAGCATTGGAACGTGGCAATTGAGGAGGAGTTGAACACCTTGGCTGAAAGGGGCACATGGGAGCTCGTACCTATGCCGGAAGGGAGGAAAGCCGTGGGGGTGAAGTGGATTATCAAGATCAATACCAGAGATATGGGGCAGCTGGAAGAGTTCAAAGCAAGGCTTGTAGCCAAAGGCTACACACAGGTTGAGGGGAAAGACTACAACCAAAACGAGATCTACGCTCCAGTGAGCAAGTTGACAGCGGCACGGGTCTATCTCAAGGTGGTGGCAGCGAGGAGATAATTCATGGTGCTGCTGGATAATAAAAATGCGTTTCTACATGGGGTGCTGAAGGAGGTCATCCACCTCGAGCAACTACCAGGGCATGACGACGGTTCGGGCAGAAAATGCAAGCTCAACAAGGCACTATATCGGCTGAAGCAAAGTCCTAGGGAGTGGTATATGGCGATGGATGAGCAGCTACTGCCAGGGGGATTTTTTAAAGGTGAGTGTGACAGGGCATTCTACTGGAAGGGAGAAGGGAAGAAGAAGGTGTTCTTGGTGCTGTACGTGGATGACATCTTGGTAGCAGGGGCGTTAGAGGAGACGGTAGAGAAGCTGTGCACTCACCTTGCGGAAGTTTTTCAAGTGAAGCAGATTCCAACGATCACACTCTTTCCCAGCATGAATCTGGAGCGGCGTAAGGAGGAGAAGAAGATGATTCTATACTAGCAGAAATATTGCGGTAGGGTGCAACAGAGGTTTGGCAATGGCTATACGAAGGCGACAATGAACAAGAGGAGGATGTCAACCAATGGGGCAGCAAGGGGAGGTCTCTACAGGTATACCCGTCCATGGTGGGGTCCATAATGTACCCAGTTTCATGCACAAGCGTGGACATGGCATACGCAGCTGGCTACCTTGGGCAACAAATGCAGCAGCAAGGGGAGAGAAAGTGGAGAGAGATGAGGAGGACCATCGACTACCTCCTACAATATGAAAATGAGGGGCTGTTACTTGAAGGAGGTGAAGAATCCTTCGACTTAGTGGGGTATGCGGATGCTTCACACGCATCCGGCAAGAAAACAAGGAAGGGAGCATACAGTTACGTGTTTCTGCTCTGCGGGACAGCAATCATGTGGCAAGCGAAAACGTTGGCTGACATAGCGCTCTGTAGTGCGGAAGCGGAGGACATGGCTCTGTTTTACGCATGCCAAGAGGGGGTTTGGCTGAGAAGGCTATTCAAGGAGATGGAAATCAAGGTGGAAGGGCCTATGGTGATACGCACGGACAGCAAATCTGTCATCGACTTGGCTCGGAACGATAATTGGCACGGGAGGACCAAGCATATGGATGTGAAGTATCATTGGGTGTGCTCAAAGGTGAGTAGCAAGGAGTTTCCGTTTAAATTCATGCGTACGGAGGCACAGACGGCAGACTTTTTTACTAAGGTGTTACCAAGGGCTAATTTTTTAGCGCTGCAAGAGAGAGGGAATATGTACCTTGGCTGAATTTCAGGGGAGTGTGGAGCAGGCCTAGAGGTGGTTCAAGGTGAAACGTACGATGGAGAGTGCATAAGCTGGTGGTTAGCAAACGACAGGGGAGATTGTTGAATGTGGTTAGCTAACCACGACTTAGAACGACCTAACGCGATCTACATCGACCTAAGAAGAAGCCGGTTGGACGAGCTGTGACTAAGGGAAGGCAATGACCTAAGAAGAGGAGAAGCTACCTATGCTGGGGCGGTGGAAGAAGAAACACGTCAGCGGCGGAACCTGTAGTGGGAATCGAAGAGAAGACGAGGAAGCGTGAGGAAGTGGAGAAGGACATGACTGAAATGTTGAGATTTCAAGTGAAGTGAAGAGAAGTCACGCTGGGTCAAAGGCGCGTCCAAGGAAGTCTGAAATTCGAACTCGAGGCGCGTTCGGTGCATGGTTGGATTTGGAAATCGAGCCGAGTACAACTTAGCTCGGAATCAGGCGCGGCGTGAGGGTGAAATCAGAAATCCTTTTGCTTATAACTTGCTTTGTGTTTTCTGTTATTCTATGCCTTCTTCAATGAAATCACTCAACTTTCTAACTTGACGTTTTTCAGCAATTTCCTTCACACAGTTGAGGCCAGAGCTTCCCATGCAAGCTACTAAGACTCTAATTAGTCTTCATAGTCTAGATTAAAGGCTGCGCACGAACAGGAGCTATTAGGTGATTATAACGAGCCGTGCATCTCTACGGCAACTACAAGGTGATTATAACGAGTCGTCCATCTCTACGGCAGCCACATTGCCTCACCTTCCTCTTCTCCCACCAGGCAGGGCTCTTAACCAAGCCAAGTCTCAACTCTCCACCCAAAACTCCCCTCCCTCCCCCCCTTTCCTCCCCTCTCCCCTCCACGCTGGCCTCGCCCCTCCAGGCAGAGCAGTTCCCCTCCACGCTAGTCAAGCTAGAGCTGAGAAAAGCTGCTTTCCACCCACTGCATATCCCCCTCTCTCTGGGTCTTATTCGGACATAGCCCCTCCCCACTCTCCCTCCCCCTCCGCCTCCTCCCTCCTCCTCCTCCTCCTCCTCTCCTCCTCCTCCTCCTCCTCCTCCTCCTCCTCCTCCTCCACCACCACCTCCTCCTCCTCCTCCTCCTCCTCCTCCTCCTCCTCCACCTCCTCCTCCTCCTCCTCCTCCTCCTCCTCCTCCTCTTCCTCCTCCTCCTCCTCCTCCTCCTCCTCCACCTCCTCTTCCTCCTCCTCCTCCTCCTCCTCCTCCTCCTCCTCCTCCTCCTCCTCCTCCTGCTCCTCCTCCTCCTCTCTCCTGGCCAAGCTAGACATGCCTCTCCCAACCTGGGTGCGTCGCCTCGCCCCCCTCCACGACAGTGCACCCACCGACCCCTCCCCTCTCCTCCGAGCATGGTTAAGGCTGAGCTGGCTGCGGTGACGTGGCAGGGAATGATGTGGCAACGACAAGTGCTGACGAGGCGCGGGTGCGGCTAGAAGGTGTCTTTGCGGGTTTTGAGGAGCCGGTTGGGTCTGCATTCATTGCCCAAGTCAGCGGGAAGGGGGAGGACGGGGGAGGATGTTGGAGGATGGGGGAGGACGGGGGAAGGCTGAAAAGGAAGCATGAAGGGGGAGGAGAACGTGGGGGTAGGATGAAAGGGGGGAATGTGGTGGGAGGATGAGGTGGGATACCACGTTGACGGTGGGGATTCTATCCAAGGGCTTCTTTCTTGCACTTGGCCATGTCTCCCCGGCTGCCCTTTTCAATTCGGCCCCCACTCTAGCATCTGAGACTGGACCATCCAGCCTCTTTTTCTCAAGCCTCAATGCTCTTGGGTGTTTTCGTTCTGCCTTGTGCCTCTGCTTGTGTCTGTATGCGGGTGTGGGGGCGTGCGGTTGTGGGGGATGGGAACAGGTGCATAGGGTTAGGGTGAAGGATGGGCGCTGTGTGGCCATGAAGGTAAGCAAGCGGAACGTCGGTATGCACTGCACTGCACACCTACGTTCTGCTTGCTTGCCTTGATGGCTCACCTTACCTTTGCAAGCAGAACGCCAGGGTGACATGCGCAGCAGCATGGCACACATCGCATGTCCAGCGATTGCGTACGGTGGGCAGAGAGGGATGCCATGGCTTCATACTCTGTGACCACCACCCTTCATCTCCTTCCCTCCCCTCTCTGGAGCACAGCAACATGCAAAGAGCATCTGGTGATGCTCTAGGTTGACTTTTGAGAAGACTCAAAGTCCAATTACTGCTGCAGAACCGCACAGCACCCCTTCCATGATCATGTGATCCTCTCAAGTACCAGATGCTCTACGGTCCAGGAGGGGCGAGTGATCTGCTCTGCTCGCAACTCAATCCTCTCGTCTCTCCGCCTCACTCTCACCCCTCCTTCTCAACCCACAGGTGCAGCAGGCAGGGGCACAGTTGCTGATGCTCATAACCCTTGATGAGTGGGCGGGGACAGGGTGGCTGATGCTCATAACCCTTGATGAGCGGTTGGAGACAGAGTCTCTACGCCCACATCTTTTCATCGGTCAAGGACCCAACTGCATTTGATTGCTCTCTCCTCCCTCCTCACCCTCCGTGCTCCTTTTCTTTCCCGCCCCACAGGTGCAGCGAGCAGGGGCAGAGCAGTCAAGGACCTCACTGCATCCCATTGCAGAGAGGATGGATAGGGCAGAGAGGGTGTATAGGGCAGAGAGGGTGAATAGGGCAGAGAGGGTGGATAGGGCAGAGAGGGTGGATAGGGCAGAGAGGGTGGATAGGGCAGAGAGGGTGGATACGGCAGAGAGGGTGGATACGGCAGAGAGGGTGGATACGGCAGAGAGGGTGGATACGGCAGAGAGGGTGGATACGGCAGAGAGGGTGGATACGGCAGAGAGGGTGGATAGGGCAGAGAGGGTGGAGATCGACAAGGGGTTAATGGAGGTGGTGGGAGGATTGGGGAGGTGGACACCCGTGCGTCACGTGTCATCATGCATACCAGGCCTCGTCACCAGGTGTTGCTGCTTGCTTGCTAATGGAGCTACTAATGGCCTTATACATGCTCTCCACATGACCATCAATTATGGGCAGATAGAGGCACTGTGCCGTGCCGTGCTGTGCAGGTCACATGCTTGCCACTTCATTGCCTGTCTGCTTTCGTTCCCTCCCTCCGTGAGTTTGTGTCTGCCACCATGCACCCTAACTCCGCCCCCCGCCGCCTCTTCAGTGCGCCCTCAGGGGCGCGGAGGGTTTGGGGGGAGGAACGTGGGGGAGTGGGGGAGGAACGCGGGGAGTGGGGGGAGGAACGCGGGGGAGTGGGGGGAGGAACACGGGGGAGTGGGGGGAGGAATGCATGGGAGTGGGGGAGGAACACGGGGGAATGGGGGGAGGAACGCGGGGGAGTGGGGGGAGGAACATGGGGGAGTGGGAGAAGGAACGCGGGGGAGTGGGGGGACTCACTTTACTACTTGGTCGCCAAATCCCCACGAGCTTCGTTTTGGTAGGCGTAGTACCCCACATGTTTCCTCCACTCATGTAAGAAACTCTTGCTATCAAGGCGCCTCATAAGTAACCCATCTGTTTCCAATCATGAACGGAACTCTCACCACCTCCGCACTCATCTGCCTAGGTGCGTCGCCTTGCCCCATTCCACAACAGTGCAACCGCCGACCCCATTCCTCTCGTCAAGCGCATTGTTGAGGCTGAGCTGGCACGCGCTGACGTGGCTGCACACTGGACATTTCTACACGCCTTGCTTAACATTTATTTTCCCTCTCCTCCTTGCCACCCTGCTACCACCCCTCGTCCCATCCACACCCCTTTCTCCGTCCCCCCTTGGGCAGCTGCTGTGGGTGAATCTCATAATGAACACGCTGGGAGCACTGGCCCTCGCCATAGAGCCGCCCACCTCTGACCTCCTAGAGCAGCCCCTGGTTGCATTTTTTACTCCAGCCTCCAAGTTTCCCCGCTTTTTGCATTTGGCATGTCCCCTTGCCCCTTTTTCCTTGCTACCCTTCCCAACACCCACTCAACCACACCACGTGCCCACCCCTGCCATGCTGTGCAGTGCGCCGCTCATCACCAGCGTCATGTGGCGCAACATCTTCACCCAAGTACACACACACACACTCTCCTTGCTTCCTCGCATCACATGTATTCTCCCCCGCTTTGCTTTCTCTAACTAAACCCGCTTCCCGTTCCTCTCTCCATTCACCCAAGCGTTCCAATCCCACCTCCAATTCCGCCTCCGATTCCACCAACAAGCTTTCGCTTCTGCGCTGTTGCGCTGCCACCTTGCTTGAACCCGCTTACCTCTTACTTCCAGTTCTCTTCTTTCCAGGTTCCGCCCCCCAGACTCCGCTGCTTGCCTCCTTTCCCAACTCAATCCCCACCGTTTAAATATTCCACTCCCTCTCCTCTCTCCTCTCCCCACCCCCTTCATTCTCTTGTTCCCCACCCCAGGCAGCGCTGACAGTGCTACTAGTGTTCAACTATGGGGGCATCTCCCTGCTGGGCATTGGGGGCGTGTCCAACCCCAAGCCGGGTTGAGGGTTGATGGTTCCCTGTTGCAAGATTGTATTCCATTCCAGCATTGTCTCTTCTACTTGCCTTCACAGAACAAGCAAGCCATCCTACTTCTTCTCCGCTCTTCTTCTCACCTCTCATGAGTCTCCCTATTTGTCACCATTCTATCTGTTTCATTCTTTCCCCACCCTCCCCTCCCTCCCTCATTCCATCCTTCGTCACTCCTTACCCCGCTCACCCTCCCTCCCCATATGCAGCTATTCAACAGGATCAACACGAGGCGGCCCAACAAGTTGAACGTGTTAGAGCGCCCGAATAGGAGCCCCATCTTCCTCCCCGTGCTCTGCTTCTCTGAGCTGCCTCTTTCCCTCTCCTCTCTCTGACCCTCCCCTCCCCTCCCCATATGCAGCTATTCAACGAGATCAAGACGAGGCGGCGCAACAAGTTGAACATGTTAGAGCGCCTGAACAGGAATTCCATCTTCCTCCCCGTGCTCTGCTTCTTTGAGTTGCCTCTTTCCCTCTCCTCTCCCTAACCCTCCCCTCCCCTCCCCATATGCAGCTATTCAGCGAGATCAACGCGAGGCGGTCCAACAAGTTGAACGTGTTAGAGCACATAAATAGGAGCCCCATCTTCATCGCAGTGCTCTGCTTCTCCGTCACCTTCCAAGCACTCGTCGTGAAGGTCTTCTAGTCATTTGCCGGCATCACCTCACTCTCCTAGAACCAGTAGCTGCTCTGCGTTGGCATCGGTGCCATCAGGTGATTTGTCCGTGTGATTTGTGGCTGTTGGGCTGTGCGGTTGTCTTGTTGTGCAACGTCACATAAGATCTTAGAAGTTGTCCACACCGCCTTACTTTTGAGAAACCAGTGGTTCCGTCCAGCTGGTGGTACAAATTGTGCGCTAAAGTCCTCTTTGCTACACGAGTTCCATTCATCTGTTCCCCTCCCTCCCTCCCCCTCGTGTGTGTGTGCAGCCTCCTCTTGGCCTTGGTGGCCAAGTTCATCCCGGTATCAGAGGTGCCTCTCTTTGACTGCTTTAAGCTCCTACGCATGCGCCGCATGAAGTCCTCGCACCACCTCATCACCATCCAGGAGCTGCAGGCCTCCGCCATCAGTGGTGCCGCTGCTGCCACTGGCACCCGTGCTGCTGCCTCGTCCACCCCTGCTTCCGCTGGGGTGAAGGATGCAGGGAACGCTGAAACTGCTTCACTAGGAGAGACCGGTGTTGCATCTCCAGTGGATGAAGCTGCTTCTACACCATCTGTAGTTGTAGCAGTCGTAGCAGCAAAAGATGGAACAGGGGGGGCTTCTATGCCTGTAACATCGTCTTCTTGACGCATGATGCAGGGGTTGCAAGAGGAGTGAGAAGCTTCAAGCATCCCTAGAGTGTTCATCTGTGCAATGGCAATAAAACTTGCTCACTGTGACTCGTGGTTGCTACAGCATCCCCAGTAGCAGTAGTTACAGCAACAGGTGCAGCAGTAGCAGCAACAGCAACATATTGCGCTGCTCCACCTTACGTATGTGATGTGTTTCCTGTCGTGTGTCAACTGCCCACCACAAAGCATGAGTGTTGTTCAGTGTTATGATGGCATGTGATTTGAACCACGTCAACCACAGCTGTCCAACAAAACAGTGTTCATGCCATGACATCTTGCCTTGTATTAAGTGAGATTAAGTGAAGTTAAGTCTCCCCTTCCTGCAATGGAGCTTCGAGAAGTTGTAGCTACCCTTTTTCGATGCATATTTGCTGGTACTGGTGATTGGAAGGGTCATTGTAGAATCTGGAGAAACAAGTTTCTTTCTTACGTATGTGGCTGTTTCCTATTCTCTTACAGTAGTATAGATTTCATCAAATCATATGGATTTCACTTGCATTGCAGTAGACTGGTTGGCTATGCTGCATAATTACTGTACAAGTATTTGTTTGTTGTATACCAATCTGTTTCTTGTTGTTGTTACTATATCGGTTCTTGGAAACGATCCTTGATATAGTAATATTGAACAGATAGTACCTTTTGAAGGTGGAGAAAATGTAGCAAAGAATAATGTCATATTACTTCGAATTCATGTAATGCTGCTATCTAGGTTTGGCATTTCCTAGGGCCCAGTTCAGTAGCCATGGAAGAAGGACGGAAGAAAAATTTGACGCATCTTCTTTGAAGCTTCATTTCGCATTATCGAGGGCTGTACAGTGTGGGTTGTAGGGTAAAATTTTCGGAAACCGAGGCGCAGGTGTTTAGCAGCAGCGACGCGAACACCACCTAAAATTGATTCCGCGCCGTCTTATGTCATTATTGTCAAATATTGTAGTCTTAGTGATGTGTGTTGTAGGGGGTACAACTGTTAGGGTTAGGTTTATGTACCCCAACCAACCTTAGTCAAACCAACACTTTCATTCTTGACATGGCATCACCTAGGTTAGGATTCTGTGGGATCCCGTTCCTCTCGTTCACGTCCGTAGCGCCCGAGCCTGTCCCGTACCCTAGTGCCCGTTACGCTCGTACTGTCCCCTAGCGCCCGCTGCGCCTGCCATTACGTCGCTCTCGTGCCCTAGCGCCCGCTGCGCCTGCCGTTAAGTCGCTCTTGTGCCCTAGCGCCCGCTGCGCCTACCGTTACGTCGCTCTCGTGCCCTAGCGCCCACTGCGCCTGCCGTTACGTTGCTCTCGTGCCCTAGCGCCCGCTGCGCCTGCCGTTACGTCGCTCCAACCGTCCTGCCGCGTCGCGCTGTCCGTCCGCGTCGCGCCGTCCATCCCGTCCCGTCCGTCCGCGTCACGCTGCCCGTCCGCGTCGCGCCGTCAGTCCCGTCACGCCCGTCCGCGTCGCGCTGCACGTCTGCGTCGCGCCGTTCGTCTCGTCCCGTCCGTCCGCATCGCGCTGCCCATCCCGTTCGTCCGCGTCGCGCTGCCCATCCGCGCCGCACAGTCCGTCCCGTCCCATCGCGTCGCGCTGCCCGTCCTGTCCCGCTGCGTCGCGTCGCGCTGCCCGTCGGTCGCGCTACCCCTGCCCGTGGCGCTGCGCCCTCCTAGTCCAGCAGTGTTGTGCCCTACTCTGTGTCCCGTAGCGCCCTACCCTATGTCCCGTAGCGCCCTATTGAGTCGCTCTCAGTGATTAGGGTTTCAGCAGCAACACTTCCCACCTCTTTGCTTTTGCTATGGCGACCCCTAGGGTCCTGCGCTTTGACGCCGAGGGTAGGCCGCTCGAGTTCTCGGTCTGGTTCCTGCGTGCGTGCCGTCTTTTAGAGAGTCAGGTTCAGGCCGATGAGTCTCTATGGGCGCACGCTTCCGGCGACCTTGCTAAGCCCGACGACCCTGCACCCTTAGGCACTGACCCCAGCACTGCTGACAAAGACCGTTATGCCCGCCAGCGTGCTGACCTGGTAGCGTGGAAGTCGCGTGACGTTGCGGCCTGCATCTTCCTCAACAGCCTCCTCCCTGAGTCTGAGGAGGCCCACTTCACTCAGGTTCGCAGGGCTAGTGAGTTCCTGACTGCGATCAAGGCCCGCTACGCTACTCCCACCACTGTCTCTCTTGGTCGCCTGTTCCTCCCGTTCCTGTTTCCTGACCTCGCCTCGTTTGAGCGGTCTGCTGATTTTATTGCTCACCTCCGCTCGCTCGATTCTAGCTACCGCGCTGCCTGCACTGACGCACTGCTTGCACTCCTTCCTCCCCCCATGGCGATTACTATCTATTGTCTCGCCACTAGCCTCCCTGACCGCCTTGCCTCGGTTCGTGACGCGCTTCTTCTGAAGCACCCTAGCGAGCTCACTATCGAGGTCCGTGAGTCTGCCCTCAAGGACGTCGAGAGCAACCTCTGCTTGGTAGCCTCCGCCTCTGGTGCTGTGCCCCCTCTACTGTTTCACGGGTGCACTGTCCCTCAGCTGCCCACCTTTACTACCTCCTTCGCCACTGCCACTACTGACGTGACCATAGCTGCTGTTACGACTTCTTCGCAGTCTCGGGGTAGGAGTGGCAGGAGGGGCGGTCAGGGTGCGGGCAGAGGCGGCGGAGGTGGTGGGGGTGACGTGGCGAGCGGCGGCGGCGAGAGTGCAGGGGCTGGAGGAGTGCCTCGTGCAGCGGCCAGTGACTCCCCTGTTGCAGCTGGTGGAGGTGACGCCCGGGTTCGTCCGCCACCTACTGGTCGGCCAGCCGCAGGGGTTGGAGCAGCGGCGTGGTACCTGACTTAGCGACAGCAGCAGCAGCAGCCCCTCCCCTCGCAGCAGCCACAGCAGCAGCAGCGGCACCACCGGATGGGGCACCCGTCCATTCCTCGCTTGCGCGCTATGTCTAGTCAGCGTCTTGTCTTAGGCCTCCCGCGTGTCTTGCCGTCGCTGCCGCCTTCGCTTGCACCACCTTGCGGTCTCTGCGTCGAGGGTCGGCTGCGCGCCACCCCTCACTCCTCCTCCCTTCGTCTGGCCACCGAGCCCTTTGAGACTCTCCACTTGGACGTCTAGGGCCCTGCCCCTTGCCTTGGCCCTGAGCGAGAGTGCTTTTTTCTGGTGTTCGTTGACGACTACTCCCGCTACACCACAGTGTTCCCCCTGGCGAAGAAGTTTGAGGTGACTTCTACGCTGATCCGGTGGTTACTTACCACTGCGGACACTCGCGATCGTCGTGTCAGCTGTCTTCACTCCGACCGCGGGGGTGAGTTTCGCTCCGACGTTCTCGCTGGATTCTGTCGCGAGCAGGGCATCCGTCAGTCCTGGACGCTTCCAGAGTCCCCACAGCAGAATGGGGTAGTTGAGCGCCGCATAGGCTTGGTCATGGAGATTGCCCGCACCTCCTTGACTCACGCTCGTGCCCCCCATTTTCTGTGGCCCTACGCGGTTCGGTACGCCGCTCACCAGCTGAACCTCTGGCCACGTGTCTCTCGGCCAGAGGTTTCACCGACCAGTCTTTGGACCGGGTCCCCTGGTACTGCGTCGCGTTTTCGTGTCTGGGGTTGCTTGGCACTTGTTTGTGACATCTCCGCGGACAAGCTCTCGCCTCGCGCCATTCCCTGTGTCTTCCTTGGTTTCCCAGAGGACTCCTCTGACTTCACATTTTACCACCCTCCCCTTCACCGGTTCTTTGACTCCCGTGACGTTCGTTTCACTGAGTCCGTCCCCTACTACGTCAGGTACCCCTGTCGAGGTCTCCTGGTTCCTCCTCCCCCTCTCTTCTTGTCTTCAGCTCCCCCTCCTGCTCCCCCGGTACAGCCTCCCCCTCCTAGTCCAGCCCCGTCAGGTGTGTCCCACGCTACCCCTCCCCCCTCAGTAGCCCCTCAGGTGCAGCCTCCTTCCCTGCAGTCCTCCTCACAGCCTACTGCAGACCCTGCGGGAGCCGGTATTCGTGGCAAGGACCCTGGAGGTGCTAGCTCTAGAGGAGTTGGAGCTGAGAGCGTACCTGTGCGAGGTCCTGGTTCTGGGGGTGTTGGAGTTGGAGTTGAGCCCGTGACTGCAGGTGACTCTAGTCTTAGGGGAACTGGTGTTAGTGGTGCTGTCCCTGGGGGTGCGGGTGCGCCCACTGCAGGGCCTGGAGAGTCTGAGACTGGCCACGCTGCTGTTGGTGGTGTTGACTCTGGGGGTGGTGCGACTGGTGCTTTGGAGAGCGGTCCTGGGGCTACCGCCGCTCCGGACACTACTCCTCCCCCCCACCCCAACCCGACCCAGCACCAGGCCCGTGTTCGCCGTGCACGTGAGGAGCAGCTAGAGTTGGAGCGAGAGGAGAGAGAGTTGGAGCGGCGGCAGCTGGAGCTACAGCGGCTGGAGTAGCAGCAGCAGCAGCAGCAGCAGCCGTAGCAGCAGCAGCAGCAGCCGTAGCAGCAGCGGCAGTAGCAGCAGCCGGAGCAGCAGCAGCAGCCGCAGCAGCCGCAGCAGCAGCCTCCACCTCCTCCTCCTGTCTCTGGTCTTCGGACCCTCGGTCTCCCCTCCCCCTCTCCTCCCATCTCTGGTCCTCCGCTTCCTCCTCCTGACCCATCCCTAGCTGCTTTCCCTCCTACTCTGCCTCCGTTGTCCCCTCCTCTTCCTCACACTTGGCCTTCGCGTCACTCTCCTCGTGCTCGTCCCTCGTCCCCTGTTCCCTTCTCTGACCTTTGTACTACCCTGTTTTGTTCTAGTCCGCCTCGTTTGTCTCCTTCTGTACTTCCTTCTCCTCCTGAGTTGGCTCTCACTGCTTCCCTCTCTACTCCTGTCACGGACTACTACCGCACGTACTGTCCTATTCTCTCTCATGTTCTTGCCTCTCTTGTTACGGACCCTCGTGCGTCTCTATCCTCTGTCTCTGCCCTTACTGCTGCAGTCACTGAGTTTGCCTCCACTCGCCGCCTTGAATACGCCACCAGTCTTGTGGCTGCTC